ATTGCCTATAAATTCTTTTAAATAAATCTCTTCATTTTCTGGGAAAAATTAGGAATGGAGAAAATTAGTTTTTAGTTTGACTCCTTTTCTAAGGAGGTTTCTAAATAAATCACCTGGAAAGATTCAGGTTATGAATGTTTTTAAACCAAGAGGTCTTTGTAATGTGTTGCTTTTGGTTACCAGGTCCAGAATTCTCTACGGGGACGTTTCCTGCAGCAGGCGAGGTACTGTAAGCAACTGCCCTATGTTTGCTGGGGTGGAGATGAGAAAGAGAGCTGAGAGGCTGGCCTTCCTGAGGGGTCTCCATTTGCCCGGCACTATCTTTGAAGGACTTAATTGGGATGATAGAGGTGAAGGTACCATTTTTTAGAGGGGAAAGTGAAGACTCAGAGACTCTCTTGCCCTGGGGTCACATATCAGATAAATGGCAGGTTTTAAGGTCAAGTTTGTCTCCAGAAAAAAAAAAAAATCATTTAAGTAAATACAACATAATTTAAGTAAATGCAGTAAGATCACCCACCAGTATTTTGGGGAAAACAACAATTATTTAAGGTTTCTACCTATAGAAGGAAATAGGAAGCCAATGACCTAAAAAGCCATGGAATGAAATAAAGTGAAGCTATGAAGAAGGGTCAAATTGACAAATTCTGTAGAAGAATGAGGATGAAAGAAGGATGTCTAAAACGTGAAGTCAGAAATAAAGAATTATTTAAAGAAATACCTTTATCTAGCTTGCAAGTATATATAGAAACTTCTCAAAGGACTAGGTAAGAACAAGTTTCCTGGATGAAAAAAGAAATCCTATATTTTCCCCTCACTGAAGAACACAGATCTTACTTAATTTGGTAAGCAGATCACCACCTGCACATAAGATGGTAGTGGGTTTTTCTCATGACCCCGAGACCTTTTTGGTCATTTTTCTTGGGTATGAGAAGGCATTGCAAGTCTCCTCCTCCACCTATGTGGACAGGAGCTTGTCTGCCTAACCTACCAGAATAGCCTCCATTTTATTTGTTTTCCAAAAAATACAGCTTATCTTTTCACTGCCTTTCTGTTTCCTGTCTTACATTTCATTGATTTCTGCTTTTATCTCTTTCATTCCCTTTGTTCAGCTGACTTGGGGCTTATTTTACTTTTCTTTGTCTCGCTTCTTAATATGAAATCTGAGATCATTGAATTGAAAGCTTTCTTCTTTTCTTACATAGTTTAGTGCTATAAAATTCCCTCTGAGTTCTCTTTAGTTGTATCCCACAAATTTTAGTATGTTGCATTTTTGTTTTCATTCAGCTCAAAGTATTTTTTTATATAGACTTTTAATTTTTTAAGACCTTTTTTTTAAAGATTATTTATTTATTTATTTGACAGACAGAGATCACAAGTAGGCAGAGAGGCAGGCAGAGAGAGAGAGGAGGAAGCATGCTCCCTGCGGAGCAGAGAGCCTGATGCAGGGCTCGATCCTAGGACCCTGGGATCATGACCTGAGCCAAAGGCAGAGGCTTTAAAAACCCACTGAGCCACCCAGGTGCCCCTAGACTTTACTTTTTAGAGCAGTTTTAGGCTCACAATAAAGTGGAGGAGAAAGTACAGCAATTTCTTATATACTCCTTGCCCAGCCCGCTCTCCTCACAAGAGGCACAGCCTCCCCCGCTACCAAGATCTGATAGCCAGGTTGTACATTTGTTATAATCAATGAGCCTACATTGACACATCATTATTGCCCAAAGCTCACAGTCTGCATTAGAGCTTACTCTGAATGTTGTACATCCATCTATGGGTTTGCACAAATGTATAATGACATGTATATACCACTATAGTATCATACAAATAGTTTCAGTGCCCCCCAAATTCTCTGAAGTCTGCCCATTCATCTCTCCTCTGCCAAGTCCCTGAAAACCACTGATCTTTTCACTACTTCCAGCAGAAAGTCATATAATTGAAATCATATCTTTCACTTAGTAATATGCATCTAAGTTTCCACCATGTTTTCTCATGGCTTGATAATTCATTTCTTTTTATTGCTAAATAATGTTCCATTTTTCTGGATGTACCCACCATTTATTTATCCATTCACCTACCAAAGGACATCTCAGTTGTTTCTAAGTTTTGGCAATTATGAATAAATCTGCTATATGCCTGTTTTTCTGCGACTATAACTTTTCAACTCAGCTGGGCAAATACCAAGGAGCATTATTGCTGGATTGTATGCTAAGAGCAGGTTTAGTTTTGTAAGAAACTGCCAAACTGTCTCTCAAAGTAGCGGTACCATTTGCATTCCTACCATCAGTGAATGAGATTTCTTGTTCCACATCCTCACTGGCAAAACACTTTTTAATTTTCCTTTGACCCTTTGGTTATTAAGAAGTGTGTTATTTAGTTTCCAAATATTTGGGGATTTTCCAGACACCTTTTTTTATTGGCTTCTAATTTAATTTTACTGTGGTCAATGAACGTACTTTGTATGATTTGGACCCTCTTCAATTTATTGAGACTTGTTTTATGGCTCAGAATATGGTCTACCTTGGTAAATGTTCTTGGCACATTAAAAAAAAAAAAGTGTTTTCTGCTGTTGTTGGGTAGAATGTTCTATAAATGTTAATTAGGTTTGTAGTGTTACCCAACTCTTCCAAATCCTGATTGCTTGTCTACTTCTCTCTGTTATTGAGAGGAGTACTGAAATCTCCAACTATAATTGTAGATTTGTCCTTTCTCCCTTCATTGTTCCACTTATTTTGAAGCTCTGTTACTAGGTGCATACGCTTTTAGGATTGTTATGTTCTCTTGATGAATTAACCTCTTAATCATTATGAAATAAACCTCTTTACCCATGCTCTCTGAAATCTATTTGGCCTGATGTTAATGCAGTCATTGAGGCTTTCTTTTTTTATGGCATCTTTTTTAATCCTTTTACTTTTAACCTATTTGAGTTTTTATGTTCAAAGTGGATTTCTTGTATGTAGCATTTTATGTAGGCAAGTCTTATTTGTATATAACTTGTCAATCTTGCCTTCTAATTATGGTGTTTACACCATTTACATTTAATGTGATTGCTTATGTAGTAATCTGTCACCTCAGTATTTATTTTCTATTTATCATACTTGTTCTTTGTTCCCCTTTTCCATTTCCTATCTTCTTTTGGATTAATTGAATATTTTATGATTACTCTGTTTTGTCTCCTTTATTGGCTTATTAGCTATAGTTACTTGGTGGGGAACACCTGGGTGCCACAATTAAGCATCTGACTCTTGGTTTCAGCTCAGGTCACGATCTCAGGGTGGTGAGATCAAGCCCTGTGTCAGGCTCTACACTCAGCGTGGAGTCTACTTAAGAGTCTGCCTCCATCTCCCTCTGCCCCTCCCCTTTCTAAAATAAATAAATCTACATCTAATCTACTACAGCTAATATATGTATATATACGTATATATATTAGCTGTAGTTTCTTTAAGTGGTTGCTTTAGATTCAATTGTGTACATCTATAATTTATATTATCCTACTTCACAAATAGTATAAGAACCCTGAACATTAACTTTATGAAATGTGTTAATCCTGAATTTAAATGTGTTTTCTGAATGGTAATTTGAATTTATTACATTTTCTCCTCATTTGGGGTTGTGTTTTCCTTTTCCTTTGCATAACAGATTATTGGGTCCCAAGATTATGAATTTTGCCTCTTTGGGAACTAGATATTCGTGTGTGTGTGTGTGTGTGTGTGTGAGCTATTCGTGTTTTACTTTTAAATTTAAGACAGAGCCAAAGCAACGCTTAACCTAGTGTTGAATTTTTACACAGTGATGAGCCAACAATACCCTTCCTAATCCTCTACCTAATGCCTCAAACTTTATCATATATTCCACTGTGCCTGGTGGAAACATGAACTATTCCCAATCTTGCGTAATATCAGAGGATTGTTCTGCCTATCTATTAGGTGACTCTTCCTCAGCCTCTGATAGATGCATCATGTGTTTATAGTTATCAATACTTAGCTGAAGACTTGGGGAAGACCCAGTTCAGAGCTCCAGAGCTTTCTTACAGTATTCTGTCCTGCAAACTCTAGCTATCTTGGACTCACCAAACTCCCAACTCTGTCTCTTCAATTCACAGAGAACTCTAGGCTCTGCTGGGTTGCCCCTCATGTCATGAACACTCTCTCTAGGCAGTAAGCTAGGGCCACAATTTGTTTTCCTCTCTCTCAGGAATTATTGCCTTGTGCTGTTATTCAATATCTGAAAACTACTGTGTATTTTCCCCCTCTATTGTTTAAAAGGGGAAGATAAATCTGTTACTTCACTTGGCCAGAAGCATAATTTGGTCTTTCATTTTAAAGAGCAAAGGAGGCCTACACTTTTTATATCGGAAGTTTAAAATTTAGGGGTTTTTTTAGGGTACCGGTTGGGCCAAAGAATTTATGCCCAAGGATGTTTATTTTTTATGACATACCTTAAGGTTTTTATTTAGCATCTTTAGAAAAACAAACCAACTTCTTCCAAGGTACAAAAGATAATCCTCTTCAAGTAGAAAGAACACAAGAAGATTCATGCATCAACTGAGAGAAAACTTCAGCAATATTAGGGACAGACTCAAGGCTCTATCTAAGACAACAGGGTTCCTTGGGATTTGTGTGAAAGGAAGTCTACTTAGGAGAGTTGTTTGAACATTCTTCAGAGAGTGAGTAAATTCAAAACAAGGAATGAACAAACAAGATTAGAATGATTGGGATATCATATAGAAAAGCAAAAGTCTCATTTGGAAGGTGACTTGAGGCACTGTTCTCAAGAGTCAGGATATCAGGACTCAGTGTTTACAAATTACATATATTACCTTTTATAGTCAGGGTGAAAGAGAAGAAATGAGGGAAAATGCAAAATAGAAATGAGTGATTAAAGAGATTCCTGTCTAATGGGGCATTTGTGAATGAGAACATTTGTCTTTAACCTAAAAGCCATTTGAAATTGACTTCTCACTGCCATCTCCTACTAGAGAAGCTGAAAAGTGAGATACTCACTTTCTCAATATCCATTAAATGTAGGGAGGCAATGTTGTGGCCAGTTAGATACATGGAGAAATCTGCTGGAGGGCCACTGGGTAGATTTCCTTTGCTGTCAAAAGAGAAAAAGTCCTAATTAGTACGACCCTTCTTTCTTTTTTACCTTCATCTTGCCTTGAACTTGGATAACATGATTGGCATTATTGGAGCCATCTTGAAACCAAACAATAGATGAAAATTCAATCCTCTAAGAAGAGAAGAGGAATAAAAAGAGCCTGGGTCCTTCTTGACATTTTGAACAGTTGGACCAATGCTAACAATTCCCTTACTGTGAACTTCTATTTTTTAGGCCATTATTTGTTGGGTTTTCTCAAACTTAAAAGCTAATTCCATTCCTTGCTGATACAGAAGCAAAATGTAAATTGGCAGGGCTACACTTTGTTCATCTGCACATTAAAGACAAATTAGTCCAGTAATAATGACCGACCACACTGAGAATAAGAGAGGCAAGATGGATAATATCCATGACCCATTCCTAATCTTTGCCATTTGTTTTACATGTTTGTACATAGAAAGATTGTTTAAATTGTTGGAAACTGTCCACTGAATATAGGATAAGAAACCAAACTGCTCTTCCAAGTGACACACAAAAAAGAGATGTTTGGGTCAAGGAACAAGACTTGAGGACAGAGGGAAAAAAATTGGTGTCCTGTTTTTCCAGTAAGGCAAGGGAAATGGAGAAGCTGAGTAACACACCTCCTCAGTTACTGATGCAGAAAACTTCAGACGAGATTCTGAGCACATTCTTGATCCACCTTAATTTTCTCTTCCTCATCCTTCAACTTGCCATGAGGAACTGAATGTAAAAGGTGAGTATTTCTTTTCCTGAACTCCTTGAAAATTAAGAAACACACATAGATAATTCTTCAATAATAAGAATAAAAAGCATAATACCACACACAGAATTACAAGAAACATTTAGAAATAAATGTGAAAACCTAGAAGAAATGAAATATTTCCTACAAAATAAAAGTTATCAGAATTAATCCAAGAAGTGAATATTTTGAACCAAAGATACTAGGAAAGCAATTAAAAATCCTACCTCTAAAAAATGTTTTATTCAAATATAACGTACATACAGAAAAGTGTACATATAAGTGTAAATTAGATGAATTTTCATAAACTAAACAACCCAACATAAACAAGCACCGGATAAAGAAACAAAATATTACCAGCAGAAGTCCCCCTCAGACTCCCTTTCAAACACCATCTCCTCCCCTACCTCCCTCTCACTGAAGATAAGCACTCTCCTGACTTCTAACAGTTAACACAAATCCGTTTTGCCCATTTTAGTACTTTATATAATGGAAAGCCTACAGTATCCTTTTATAGCTGCCTTTTTAGGCTCAGTGTAATGTTTCTGAGATTCACCCATATGTTGCATGTACCTATGAACTGTGCATTCTTATTGCTGTATAATATTCCATTGTATGAATACCAAAATGTATTTATCCATTCCCTAGTAGATGGACTTTTAGGTAGTTTCTGGTTTGAAGCTATTACTAATACTGTTGCTCTAAGTATTCTAGAACATATCTTTTGGTGTACATATGTATGCATTTTCCTCAGTGTTTGCCCAGAAACAGAATCAGTAGATTTCATATGTTCACTTAAGTAGATACATCCAAATGGTCCCCCAATATGTTTGAATAAATCTGCATTCTCACTGGCAGTGGCTGAGCCTTCTGATTAGTCCCACATTTTGCCAGACTATATAACTTCTTATATCTAATAAAAAGTCCACTGAAGAAACCTATAGACCGATCTCACTTAGGAATATGCTTGCTGAAGTTCTAAATAAAATATTAGTGACTGGGAAACTGATTTATAAAAGAAAGAATAACACGTTATGACCAAGTAGGTTTTATTCCAAGGAGACAAGAGTGGCTTAACGTCAGCAGCTCCACAAACAATCTAGCTAATCACCAGATTGAAGGAAAGTAACACACAGCCACATCAAAAGAAGCTGAAAAGGCATTTGACAAAATTCAGCAGCTATTTCTAATAAAATCTCTTGGTGAAACAGAAAAAAAATTAAGTGAGACTATTTACCAAATAGCAACACAAATATCCAAAACAGCTAAATATCTCAATTAAAATCAATAGCACTTAGAGATGCCTGTTATCAGCATTATCACTTAACACTATATAATGGAGTTTCTAGGCAATAAAGATTATAGAGAAGAAAAGAATCTTTCGAACACTAGAAAAAACAGGTTATTTTTGTGATTTTGTGAGTGTGAGTGTCATTGTATTTGTGACTGTCATCGTTATATTTCTAAAAATCCCAAGAGACTGTAGTGAAAACTTCTGGAATAAGATTTTGTAAGTATGTGTAATAAATGTGTGGTATACAAGGTAAGCACACAAACACACAAACAGACTTTTTATTTATAATAAGCCTTTAGAAATGGAAATGGAAAAAAAAATCCATTCTCAGTAATGACCCAAAGACTAAGAAACAAGAGTACATTTAGTTTAAAAAAAAAAAGACAAAAGACTTAAGTGAAGAATAGTGCCAAATCCCAATCTTACTAATGATATAGACAAGATCTGAGCAAACAAAATAATACAATTTTGTTAGTTCTTAGAAGACAATATCATATGTCAAATTTCCCAAAATTAATCTTTAAATGTAATGCAGTTTCAAGTCCTAAATGGATAAAATGATCACAAACTTCAAATGCCTGGTAATAGCCAAGAAAAGTAGTAAAAACAACAGTAGCCCAGGAGTGTGGGGTGAGACAAAGCTCTGCCTGAGCATTTTATGAAGTCACTGTATGCAAATATAGAATCGCTGTAATTAAACACATGCTATTGCCATATATAAAGTGTACTATCACCAAAACAACAGAGTATATTGAGAAATCTCATTATATATGAAAAATTAATATATGACGAAGTTGGTATTTCATTTCATTGGAAAAAGATAATGTGATAAGAAGTGTTGGAACATTTGGCAACCCACTCGGAAGAAAGTAAAGTTGGATCCACAGCAGGCATTCTATACAAAAAACAAATTCCAAATGGAGTAAAGATGAATGTAAAAAAACCCCAACAACAAAACCAAGAATAAAACGCATAAGCCATTCTAGGACAGTACATATGCCACCCAGGGGTGAAGGCCTTAATCAATACAGAATACTTTGAAATTTTTATGTATTTACAAATATCCATATTTTGTAAAATAATATACTTGCGTATATATACTAAAGTTTTGAATGGGAAATTGTATTATAAATATGGTAAACAGACAAATTACAGTTTGGAGAAAATTTACAAATAATATGATGAAATGTTTACATATAATATAGAAAGAACACTTACAATTTTTTTTTAAAAAGACAGTGCACGTATGGGCAAATGTTAATAAAAAATGAAGTGAATGAAAAATAAAAATGAATAAAAATTTAAAATGTGATTAAAAAGATACAAATACACAATGCACCTTAAGAGTGAAATCCAAATGACTAAGTTTTCTATGGAAAAGGGACTTAATATTAGTGGCCAATAGACAACTTGTAAGAGTTGGAAAAACTGTTTGCAACCAAGAGTAGAAAGGCTTAACATGTAACATACAAAAACTTCCTATGAACTAGTTAAATAAAGATAAGAAGGCAAACACAATAGAAACATGGATGTAAATGTAAAGATATAAATAAAAACATGAATATTTGTGGTAGACAGAATTCTAAGATGGCTCCCATGGTCTTTTCCCCTGGTGTTACTCCCACGATAATGTTACATTTACCAAGCAAAGGGAGTTTGTGGAAGTAATTTAAGGTTACTAACCAATAGACCTTAATTTACAAAAATTATCTGGGTGGGCCTACTCTAGGCACATGAGCCCTTTAAAAGCAGAGCGTTTTCTCTGGTTGATAGCAGAAGAGAAAACACAGAGAGTCAAGTATGAGAAGGATCTGATGAATCCTTACTAACTCTGAAGATGGCGGCGGGGTGGGGCGGTAAGCATTACAGACAAAGACTGAAGAGTAACTTTCAAAAGCTGAGAAGAACGTCTGGCTAACAGCTAGCAAGGAAACAGAGACCTCCGTCCTACAACTGTCCTACGACTGTATGGTCTGAAATTCTGCCAACCACAGGAATGAGCCTGGAAGTGAATTCTTCCCCCAGATCCTTTAGTTAAGAGCCCAGCCTGGCACACACCTTATCCGACACTAAATAGAGAGCCAGGCAAGCCCACCTGAAGTTCTAACCCACATAACTATGAAATAATAAACGGGTATTATTTTAAGCTGCTAAATTTATGTTAATTTGTTATACAGCAACACAAAATGAATACAAAAGGTAATTTAATTATGAGTGAAATCGAAATAACAAAGAACATATGAAAAGTTATGCAGATTTACAGTAATCAGGGAAATGCAAGTAAAATAATATGGAGAAATCACTGTACATACCACCAGCCTTTTTTTTTTTCTATTTCTTTTAAAGGCTACAACAGCTACTGCTAGTGGGTATAAAGAGTAAGGATATTTTTATACTGTACATCTACTGATGAAAATATAAATTGTTCCAGCTTGTTTGGTAAACAATCTGTCAATACTTACTAAAAAATGTTAAATCTACATATCTCTCAACCCAGCAATTCTACTGCAGGGACCCTGTTCCACAGGAGTGAAACCATCATGGTCACGGCTATGTGCACAGGCACAATTACCCTGATAGTGAAAATCTGGTAGCAAAGTAAATGCCCACTGATTATGAAGAAGTTTAAATCATCATTAGAGTTTTCATCGTTAAAAAGAATGAAATAACAACTATAAGACAGACTTGGAGGAATTTCTATCACATATTGTTAGATGAGAAAAGATGCAGAGGACATGTATTATCTCATTTATTTAAAGCAAACAGACCCACCAAAAAAAATCTCATTTTATTTATATAAGATCACGTGTGTATATTAAGGAACTTAAAAGATACCTATGTATGTACAGACTTAAAAGTTGCTCAAAATATATATTAAATTTTAAAAGCAAGTTGCAGAGAACATGTAGAATAAGACAAAACTCGATGCAGTATTTGTGTGCACATACTTGTATGAATAAGAGTAGAGATACATATATCATGCTGTTATTACAAGGCAGGGTGGGAGTGAAATGGTATGGTGGGATGTGATGACTTCTGCTTTATGTCTTCATTACTTACTGCTTTTTTGCTTTTTTTTTTTTTAATTTGTATTTCTTTAGGCAATCTCTACAGCCAATCTAAGTCTCAAACTTATGACCCCAAGATCAAGAGTAGCCAGCCAGGCCCCCCTTTGTGTTGCTCTTTTAATTAATTGTATTAATTTAAATTGTATCAATTTCTACCTCTGAGAAATATCATCTCCTTCCTCTTTACCTTTAGCACTCACAAGTCATATTCTCTATTTTTTACCTACATTATTTGTTGTTTTCCCCAACTGGAATGTAAGCCACATCACATAAAAGATTTTGTCTGTTTGCTGCTGAATGCCAGCGCCTGGAATGGCCTGGCACAAAGCAGGCACTCGAATATTGAGTAAAGTAATATTTTATGTATAACTTCTTCTTTAGGTCTACTCTTAATGTGCATTTTAACCTTGTTTCACCTAAATACTTGATATTCTAGAAGTTATCAGAAGTGTGACAGAATTACATGACAAGAAGTGTGAATTTAGGGAGTGAATAATAATTACTTGTTGGATGTTTATTTCTGCCCAACATTTTATCAGGTGTTTTGTATCTATTATGGCTAATCAATCTCTCGGGCAGATCTATCATCTCCTTTTCACAGATAAGAAACCAACTCATAAGAATTAGCTTGACTAAAGTTTCACTGACTATAATAAATGTTCTGTGTCCAGGCCAAAATCCTGTTCTTTCCTTTGTGCCATATTGACCTTAGAAGAATCATT